ATCAGGGATCGAAACCACGACCTTTGCATTTCAAGTCAAGTGCTTAAACCACTCTACTATGGCACCTCTAATATTATATTAGTGTAAGGGTATAATGTTTTAAGCTGATTGACATATTCCAGTGTTAGCGTGACTAATTAGATATTTTCAAAATGCTTAAAAGGAAGTCATCCAGTACTATTTGTTAACGTTATTCTCCACTCAGAGGCTAACCCTCAGCCTCTTTAATAAAGACAGATGTCTTTTTCTATACAGGTGGTCTTTCTATGCAGATGTTAGTTTTATACAGGCCTGATTGTCCATTGTTATAATTATATTGTACCTTATGTGTGTCCTCACTAAACAGCTCCTGGACTTCATCGAGACCCATCCAGACCAAGGGACAGGTTCTAGAGCGTTTGCCCAAGCTGTGGACCAGACCAGGGCTAACATCAGATGGATGGAGGACTACGAAGAAGAGGTCATGGAATGGTTGGAGTGGGCTGTTACTGCCTAACTCTATGGGCCATCACAGCCTAACCCTGAGGGCTGTGATAGCCTAACTCTAAAGGCCATCATAGCCTAACTCTAAGGGTCATCACAGCCTAACTCTAAGGGTCATCACAGCATAACTCCAAAGGCTATCACAGTTTGATTCTATGGGCTGTCACAGCCTAACTCTAAGGGCTGTCATAGCCTAACTCTATGGGCCATCGCAGCCTAACCCTGAGGGCTGTGTCAGCCTAACTCATAGGCTGTCACACCCCTTTGGATGAACTTACCCGCTATCTACAAAGGAAAAAACAAACATTGACATTCTTAGTCCAAACACATTATTCTACATTCAAATTATTTATTGAGTTTGCTGCCAACACTAACAGTTAAAAATTATCTCTTGTGCACTGAATATTGTGCAACTCATATGTATATTTTAATTGGCACTACAGCCACACACAAAATGTTATGAAGCAAAGTTAAATAACCAACCCCAAAATGACTTGTGTGTTTTATAATTATAAAATATATTGATGCGTGTGTACCGGTATTTATTTTCATTCATCTTATTCTGACAAAAATGATTACATTGGTATTTAACAGTAAATCCTTTAATTACCATATGCAATGATATGTGACTTAAAATTGAAATATATGCAAATGATCTTGGCGATGAATATTCAAATTTTATGAAGGATATAAGAACTGTATGACTTACTGTTTAATAGGACACTGCTGCTTTGATGTAAAGAACAATGTGTATATAATTATAAAAGCATATGTTTTCTGCCAAACTTTGAAAGAGGTACATTTGATCAGATCATGTATATGATTACAGAGGTTACAATTTGCAATTTAAAGTGGTTTGCTTTTATCATACTTTTATAGCTCCAAACTAATTCTTTTGTCTCATCTGGAATTAGTTTTAAAGTGAGTTGCAGCTGTCATTACATGTATTTTTAGGGGACTTGTTGGATTCAGGAGCAAAATCGATGCAAGTCGTTATAATAAAGGGTCTTGATAATCTTCACTCAAAAGCGGACAATCATAAACTAATTATTCCGGAATCCAGACTCTCGTCTACCAAAAAACATTTTACAGTGGCTGCTTCAAAAACGTGGAACAATATGCCACTTTCCATCAGAGAATTAGGCTTGCCACTTTCAAAAGATTCCTTAAAACATACTTCTTCCCTCAGTATGTGATTAATCTATTTTATGAGTCTATGTATTTTTATGTTTTTCTTCACAATCTGTGTTTTTATAGGTGCTATGATACTTTTCTTTAGCACTCTTGAATAATCATTGTTTTTAATATTTTTATTGAATAATCAGTATTATAATTATTAAGTAATCAATATCATTATTATTGATATTTTGGTTTGTATTACAACTCATTTGCTAAGTCAGTGATGTCCTATTATTGCTCATAGGTGGTATTATGAAAACTATGTAATCTTATCTTTTATGTTACTTATACTAACTATCGCATGTAGTTTACCGGTAAGCTTCTACCTACCTTAAAATGTTGTAGACAGCTTTCCTCCACACCTGTGGACTTTCTCAAGCCAAGTTATAATTAGTTTCTTGCTGTTGGCTTCTTTGAGATCACAATGAATAGCCAGTCCCTATTCAGATGAATTCTTTCGCCTGTCTCGACATCTTTGCCATTTAAAAAATACTTTTTGAGATAACTTAATATGTGACTGGCTGCATGGCTTGAGATCACTGGAGCGAAGATAAGTTACAATGAATAGCCAGACTCCCTATTCAGATGGATTCTTTTGCCTTTCTCGACATAATTGCCATTTAAACAAGTTTGGGAAAAGTTATGTGACTGGCTGTCTGAGCTCAGAAAGACAAATCGTACTGATATGTGCCAGCACATATATCTTGTGTGTGTTTATTATGCACTATTTCAGTTCGGCATGGCAGTATTTTTACCTCTCGCTTATCTGTATGAAAGAAAATATAGTTTTCAGAATACAAACCCTATTATCCATGATGATATTCAAATGGTTTATTTACCGGTAACACAATTTTTCTTGTATGTTATTGCAATGGATGCTATAGAGATAGATATATAGAAATTTATATAGACATATATAATGTATAAAGTTTAATTTTCAAATGTCTTTTGTAAGCAGGTGCGCCATTCCCCAACGCCATAGACCTTTACATGTAGTTTGCCTATGGTGCTAATTGAGTAAAGATTATATTGTGAACAATTGTTATCCTCGTCCGCATTATGGTACAAGTACTTTGTGTGTAAAGTACATTCACCTACGCATATTCTGCTGTTGTATGCTGTATATATATGCAGCCTTATTTGTGTGTAAGATTAACAAGAGGGTCACATAGCAACATTCTGTAATCACTTTGTAAATAAAAAGCTAAATGAGAATATATAATCTTTTATTACAATTTCATCAATCATACCCAATATTGTTCTACCACTACCTCTAATGGAAACTTACTAAATCCCAAATCCAAATCCAAGCTTGATTTTATAAGGTGCAGTCTTATCAGAGGTTATTTGGAGCTGTAAATGTAATTGACTGGGGCATGCAGCGACTATATGCCTCTACCTGAGTTTATTCAGACCAGTGAGCAAATATTTAGACAACAATGCTAATACAGTACCTTTGTGACGGAATAACTGACCATTGTATCTGTAATACTAGATTGCATGGTGGTAGGATATTTAGTATGTCACTGAATATCTTGTTATATCATCAGATACCCAACTTGGATTATATATAGGCTTAGTGGTACATGTAGGCTAGCTATTCCAAGCCTTAAAGTCCTCTCCCAGTGATTGTCAAGGAGGCTTATAATGCTGTACCAAAGGGTACTAGCGTATCGATTTGGTTCTGAACCTGGGACCTACCCGTAACTAGACGATGCTCTACCACTGAGCCATGGCGCCTCCTCATAGAAGATATAACAAACTGATAAAGGTTGTACGCTTTATTAGAAACCCCTCGCAAGATATACCTTGTTTTGCCGCAGCTTAAAGGAACAATAGGCTTAAGGGGGAGGGAAGAAACACAGAAACAATAGTAGCTTGGAGAAACGTAAATGCTTTTTAGTTATTTTACTGGTAGCTTTTACATGTATGTATCTAAATAGTTTGTATTTTATTGATATCAGAGAACTTGGGTAACAACATTTTTAATGTAATGTTTCATCAGAAATCATTCCAATCGCTCAAATTGCCTCTAATTTTTGCCATGAATCAAGTGCCTTTGTATCATATTAATTATGAATCATGTATGTACATTGAGAAAATTATATTTTGATTATGATATAATCATGTGTTTGATTGCCTTTTGTGGTGTGCTTTACTTGTGAAGATTTATTATATTTTATTACTTGTATTTTTGTTAAAGACCATGTCGGAAGTGAAAAATTAAATATGCATTTATATCAACAGAAAGCTTGTAAGCCATGGATTTCAAAACTATCAATCATATCTATTTTAGTGTCTGTCAGAGGATAAATATCTCTCTGAAAACTTGAAATCTAAAGCTTGACATTCTTTTGTATGGAGCAAGCATATTCATAATTACTTTGCATGAATTAAGCACAGCTCATCACCTCGGCTATAGGCGAGACGATCAGGTCAGGTGTGGAAAATAAGGTTTTAATTTGCTTTTGAAAGGGAAAATATTTGTTTATTCCTTTATATTTTTATTCTACATTTATTCAGCTTTCCATTGATATAAACTTGCATAGGATAGGGTCTTTAAAATTACATTAATGCAAGGAAATCATTCTTTTTTTGTTGTGTTGGTCTGTACATGATTCTCAATGTTGTGTAATCAAAGGAATTTAATATATGTGCCATCACTTTCATACCGATTGATCAACAGGATGAAACTCTTAGAATTTACAAGACAAACCATTGCTTCTCTCTCTCTCTCTCTCTCTCTCTCTCTCTCTCTCTCTCACACTCTCATTCTCATTACAAGCCCCCCGTTTCTCTCTCTCTCATACTCATTACAAGCACCCCCTCTTTTTTCCCTCTCTCTCTCTCTCACTCCTCTTTCTTCCACAATCTTTATACACGAAGAAACTTCAAATTCTTATTTGTTTTAATTTCAAAATTAGGTAAGATGATGCAATCTGACACACACACTCTTAGACAATTAACCATGGTACATGTAAGATCACCCAATATGGTTTACATGTACCAGGGAAAATAATGATCTTAGTTTTTCTGCTATTTGAATGGGGGAAAAAAAAAAAAAGTTAAATCCAGGGTGCTCTGCCAGACACAAAATCCGCCCGACTCAAAATTTAGCACAATAAAGTGTTTTTTTTTCTCTATGTAATAAATAAAGATATAAATACATACAAAATGGAAAAGAAAAAGAAAACGAAAAAAATCAGGAAAAAAATCATCAAAAAAATCATCAAAATTTACATGCAGACCTGATAACGTGTACTGGTAGTCTAAGCCCACAACACTAAAAGCTAGTGCAGAGCCTTGCAACAGGTACAACAAATTATTCAAACAAGCAGTTGTCTTTGGAAGTTATACTTTATTAGGAAAAAACAATACAATTGACTAAGAGCACACTTTCACCAGTATAAATAAAATGGTACAAAAAATTGGATATAAAATGATGACAATGCTAGGAATGTTCAATACAAATACAGCTGAATCCTGAGGGTATAATCACACGTTTTGGAGGCACCATAGCTATATGTAATATCTCAATCTTATCGTTAACACGAACCAAAAATAATCTCATTTACACCGTTTTTCTTCCTGTTTAACAGAGTAGATTGTAAATCTTGTATATGGGAAATACTGAATGGAAAGTTCACCCTGTAACTTCTTCAAATCAGTAACCATCATCACTTTTAACATAGCAAATGTTGCATGGTCTTTTCAATTTGCATAGAATACATGATTTAGAACAGATTGATCATTTGAATTTTGAATGAGAACATATGTTTCTAAAATCTTTACATGTAGCCTTTTAATAATTATGTCCAGTGATGAGCAATAATAATAGTAATAGAGAATTTCATATTTTCCTAATCATACTTGTTCAATAATCAATATCTTGCATTTTTTGTGATTAAATTCACATAAATTCAAATCAAAACATCTAAGTAAAAAGTACATGAACATTTGACGGTATATTGTAAAAAGAATTACATGGCAGCTATACATATACAATAGATACATCACTAGGACAACTACGCTATTTTATCATCTCCAAATTCACCTCTGGCTTTTTCAGTCCAATTTTGACAAGAAATGTCCCTCATCTAGAACTCATAAAAATAGAAAATACCAAATATACACATCAACCAAGAAATACAAGATTACTGCCAAAGTCTTACTCCAGCCTACTCACAAATAAACACTCAAACTGCTCAGTGCTATTAAGAAATATGTGTTTGTTATTAAAATTAAATTACATGATCTAAACTATTGTAAGAGTTAAAATAAGACCAATTCATACTTGTATTTGTTACAATTACTATTTGGTTCTCTAGTCTCTTCTCTCTATACATATTCAATTCACTACTGATCAACCCAATTCCTTTCTCCATTCATCTCCTCTACATACCAAGTCTTCCATCTCACCTGGTATGTTCCTTTGTTCTCTTTCTTCTTTTATTCATGGATCTTAGGTATTTCCACTTCTTACTTATCATCGGTTCTCTTCTCCTTTTCCTTTTGAATATTCAGTCTTACTCTTAAATCCTATTTTGCTATCGGTTTATGATGTATTTCATTTGAATATACTTTGCCTAAAAATGTACAGTATGAGGCTGCATAATAAAAGACAGATAGACCTGCACTGGCCATGATCTGAGTCAGTCGTTTTGATTTAGGGCTCTGGTACTTTTATGTTGGAGGCTTAGGAGAGAGGATTGATTTGAGTTTGGCAGTGGTTTTGGATGATTGGTGTTTTAAATATAAATTGGTGAGAGTGTTAATTTATTAGTTTACACTAATAGTTTACACTATCTCCTATTTACTACTTTTGAAACATGATTCTAATGAAATTTCTATCCTCAACTACTGTACATGTACTATTGTACTCTAGTAATAATAGTAAAACCTACGTGTACATGTACATGTATACATTGTGCGTAAACCAACGCCTATGAGCATGCAAACTTGCCAAGTACCGGGAATGCAACACTCAGGCTTGAATCTTAAGATCTACATGTATGCACCTCGTAGCATCGTGTTTGGCTTGCTTTAGTTAATTATTAGGTTTACTGTTTGGCAAATTATTGCAAAATATGTGACAATTGATTTCGGAATGCAATCTTGATCAGGTATTTTGTGAGATACCTGTATATCTCACATGTATGTTATAGTTAATTAGACGTTCAAAACATTGATTTAATATCTCTAATGAACAAAATACATGATTATTGATTTACAGTCAATAAATATTCATTCAATTCAAAGTATTCTTTGTGATTAAAGGTGACTCAATGACTGTCACACACTTTGCATGAATACACACAAAAAAATATCCAACTTTGCAAAACGTAGCATGCCTTGGCTTTGTGAACCGTGGGTGTGCAAAGATGTTTCTTGTTGACAGATACAGAGATTACATTGATCTTTAAACTCGGAAGAAAATATGCCCGGCCTCATCCACTGCAAATCAAGTTAACAATTACCAAAACTTTATTCAGAAATTTAAAGTCCCTTGATTATATGATAATTAAAATGGTGGCTTGTTAGTTGATAAGAATAATCAACCATACTGTGAGAGTCTGATTAGGGACACTCTTGACTCACTCACGTACACTCCAGCTTAGGCCAGGTGGATCTTGCCATATCCGCCCCACAGTCCATGGCGCCCGAACATCAGCAGCAACAGAAGTACGGCGAGGAGCACCGGGAAGAAGAAGTCCACCATCGGTGCGCTCAGAGCCAGCAGACCGTGGATGTAGAGGGCCGATATGACGAGGAGGACAAAGCAGCTGATGACAGGCCAGTCGTAGCGGCCGAATGCCAGAAGAGCTCCGAAGAAGATATCCAAGACAGCCATCACGGCGCAGTACATGGCACCGGACGGCTGGAAGCCAACGGCACGAAGCGGGAAGACTCCAGCGAACTTGTGCATGTAAGAGACCTAGATAGAGAGAATTATATATCGTGAAAATTACAGAGAAAAATTAATGACATATAACTGAGACATTAAATGGTAGCAGTTTTTCCCAACTTTTAAAACAATTATCATTTATTTTGTCTGTTTTATGTTGGTCATGATTTGCATTGGCATAATAAATGAGTAGGACAGTAAAATTGCAATACCGACTGGCATAACTATATTATCAACTTGACGTCTGTAATGACAATCAAGAAAATTTCATTTTGACTTTGAAAAGTCGACCCCACTCGGCCTCGGCTCTCCATGGCCATGCAGCTCTGCGCTGGAGGATGGATCATGACCCTGATGACATTGCCATTGGAATTGGATGTTTAAGTTTAATCAATCAATATTTTTGTTAGTGTTACTGTTTTAGAAATAAATTAAGACTTTAAAAATTATATCAAAGCCACTTTCAATGAATTTGCAGTAATAATATGAGCCTGCACCGTGCAGCTGCCAGGAAATACTCTGTCCCAATTCTCACCATAATCACGTTCATGCATCCTGATTTTAATTTAAACAAAATAAAAACAAGTTTAAGATATGACCTATAGGGCAATTCCACGGTAACGGAATTACATTTCAGAGAAATTTGGGCTCTATTTTTATATACTGTAGACAGGTGGTTGGGCCTAGGTGATTATTTATCTTTTTATTCTTTCTGTATTATGCACCTGTTAGCAAATCAAAATTTAAAAAAAAAATTTCAACATTCGGAACACCCCAGGACCAAAAGTGTGTCGGTAACGGAATTACGGCAGAAAAATCAGGTTATTTTTTACACTAACTTTGAAAAGATTTCGTCTGAAATCTGCAGCCAATTGGGGGTGAAGTAATGCTAATAAAGGGAGCAAATATTGTTGACTGTCCCATGGCAAGATTTTTTTGGGTGAAGTTGTCATGGTTTATCTATGCTGGATGGTTTTATGAAAGAAGGTAGTGGTAACGGAATTACATAAATGGTAACGGAATTACGTCTTCTGAAATAAGCTTGAAAAAAGGTGATTTTGTAAACATTATGTAGGCTTAAATTGTTGTTTAATTGTTTCAGGGGTTGCAATAATTGATTTTAACTACAAAGCAATTCATATGTGTACTTAATTTCTAAAAACTGTTGGAAAACGCGTCTTTTATATTGTTAAATGGCAAGTAAATATGACATTTCTGAGCAAATATTGGTGTGTAGTGATTAAATTTATGTCAATATGTGTTATCATATACTAGTTTACAACTAATTTTAATTTGGTTTAGTTTGCAAGTAGAAACATCACACAAAGTATGACAAACTACATATATTATTGCCCATTTGCCGGTAACGGAATTACAGATCACTTTTGTGACAATACACGACAAACTGGTTGTGAAGTCGCCAAGGCCAATTTATAGAAACAGGTCAATAACTCCACAGTATTCAATAGGAAACAAAGGATATTCAATTGTTTTATTGACTATTGTGAGGGCCTATTAACCAAGCAAATACCACATGCAATACATTATTTCAAAGCTTATTTTATGCAGTTTTTATCAAAAATCGATTGAAAATTGCAATATTACAACCTGTACGTCGTGGACTTAAGCATTCAAACAATTCCAAAACACTTAAGTGCTACTAATAACACTGCCTACACCCAACACAGGATCTTGGTGTAAATTAAAAACAAAATACATGAATATTTATTTACAATGATTTCAGTCCGTAAAACCAACCACCAAAATTTAAACTAATTATATAAAGAGAGCTTAATATACATGTAGCTATCATTTTGTCAACAGCGTTTCAATAATATTTCACACCAGAATTTCTAAATCATTCCCCTATCTCATATTTCTGTTGAGCCAATTTTCCAACCTCCTGACCCAATTTTCCAACATTAATGTAGGGCCTTAGAGGGAGCACTGGTTATCATTCTTTTAAAATTAATTACAAACCTTGTCAGATAATTCCATACTACATTTCAATCCACAAAAGCTAGCACCCGATTCAAAACTAATTACTTAAGATAATGTCATCAACAGAGTTGCAATAAAATGTCAAACCTTAAATCATTATGCCAATTCACTAAATTGTTATCATTCCTTAATAGTTGGTTATAATTCTTTTAAAATCAATTACACACTTCATCAGTGTTCTTGAATTTGTTACAACATGTAACAAACTTGACCATTGTCATCATTCTTCATTCCAAACAGTTATATTTTCTCTGAGCGCTAGCGATCTAGTCAAAGGCGCCCTGCCACCCCCCCCCCCCCCCCCTCCCCTTGCCATATGTATAATACGTAGAGTATGGAAATTAACCGTCTGCAAGAGGGCTAGTCTGCTATGGTCGTAGCCATCTAACTTCTAATAAAATACATGTTTTTTGATAGATCAGACCTTCCCCTTCAACCTCCACCTTGTCCTTTTTTAATGTATTTTCTCTGAGCGCTAACAGACCTGTACCGTAAGTTACCCTGACACCTTCCCTCAGTCCCATATGTTTTACGGGTTACGAGTCGGCAGAGTGAAGGTCTGCAACGAGACTAGTCCGGTACCTGCCAAAGCCTTCTTACTTTTTATTTAATATTTTTTCGCTAGATTAGACCTTGCTTTTTCAAGCTTCACCTACATGTAGTCATCAGCAAAGGTATTTCCTCTGTGTGCTAGCGGACTGATTCAAAGTCACCCCCCCCCCCCCTCCAATGGCCCATCCATATAACGAAAGTGTCCGTCTGCAAGAAGACTAGTCCGCCATGGTCTTAGCCATCTAACTTTTAATGAATTATCCTCTTCTTTTTTTTTTTGTAATTTACATTTTACGTTTTTTATGGTGTTTTCGTGGGGTATTTTCTTTGAGTGCTAGCGGACATCGTCAAAGTCACCCTGCCCCCCCCCCCCCTTTCCCTTTAAAAGTCCCATATGTATAATATGTAGAGTATGGAAATTCACAGTCTGAAAGAGGGCTAGTCCGCTATGGTCTTAGCTATCTAACTTCTAATGAATTTTGTTTTCTTTTTTCGATAGATTAGATGAGATTAGTGAAGAATAAAATTCAGAAAAGGCACTGTTTAAAATCGCCATAGGTGAAATAATATAAAGTATTTCCATGCTTAAAACAAAAGGTTTCATAAGAGATGTTGGTACAATTTTAATTGCAAGTTCAGAGTGAATGAAAATAAACACATCTAAAATTCCCAGCCTAGTTTGTAGTCTTTATGCAAATTTGAAAAAAGTTTTTAAAAAACTTTCATTGAATATATCAAATTCACATCCTTAGTCTTTAGTTAGACAATTAATATGATAAGCCAATACTTAAAAAAAAAGGGGCAAAATCCATTAAAAATGTTGTAACACAGCATACAGTATATGTACATGAGGCAGCAGGTCCATCTCTTGAAAAACATACCACTCATTACTAATGCTGCTGCCCCTTGTATTTCTTTTACCAATGTAATTCCGTTACCATGTAATTCCGTTACCACTGTTTTAATAGGAAAATAATTAGATACCTCTGAAATTTATGTTTAGGGCTGTTGGTAGGTAGATAAAGGAAGAGAATTTGCAACTACAAAGAAAAAAAGTAAGAAATAACTTTGTGAGTAAAACTTCTTTCAAATTTTGGTAACGGAATTACGCTATTTTAAGGGTAAAATTGAAATATCTCTCATACAAAAACTTTTTTCATTTGTTGAAAATAATATGCAAAACTTGATTCATATTTGTGATGTTGATTAATTAGGAATAGATATAGAGGAATAAGTTTTAAATACATTGCTCCACTGAATTTTAAGAAATTAAATCATTATCATGTAATTGAGGCCCCCAAAATAGCCCCAACTTCAAATATATTTTTCAGAAAAACCAAAAAAGATATTTAAAAACGGTTTTCAGTTCCGTCACAAGTGATTTCTTGTCCACATGGAAAATGTTAAATTATTGAAGTTGGATCAAATTAAGAATTTGGTGATTTTCCTCTTTCCCACACGGAATTGCCCTATAGACTCTAGTACTAACAGTGCAGTAAACATGGTAAACAGGGTCTAACATAAACAAAAGTAACAGCCGATCCCGACCCCGACGGGAGCGCCGCTCCAGCGGCCGGGGGCAGGGCGTCGACAGGCAAGCTCTTTAGATTTTACTAGTTTTACTACGGTACAGGGTACGTCTTTGTTAACATGTTTTCTTACCAAGTTCCCGTGTGCAGGCTCGATGGGAGCAACTTTCAACGTTCCCAAAAGAACACAGGCGAGCCCCACTCCAACAGTCAAATAGTACGTTACACTGCCCATCTTTAGAGTTTAACAGCAAATCTCAACACCGGCTGAAAATTGACTTCAAAGGCAAGGATATAGTAGAGATTGTAATCCTTAAAATGGCCCCAGGTATAAACTTGGACTCCGAGATTTGAACATTTATTTTTAAATGTGGTATTGCGCCATCTCACGTCAGAATTCAGCTAGCAGGCACGCGCCCCGACCACGCCCATACTGAATGTTTATAATTATGGTGGATCCAAAATAACAGATGGAAGAGACATATTTAAAATGTGCTCATTTTCTTTTCCCTATCTCCCCAGCCGCCCAAGACACGCTCAGGGAGCGAGGAGGCCTATCATTTTCCCCTACATACTCGATCTGTACACAAACATTGAGTAATCTTTTTTTTCAGGTGTCAAAGTAATACATTTAGTTAGAAATGAAATTAAATGAATCAAATCTGACAGCTGACAGTAATCTTCATTTCATCTATCGCCCGATAACTTTTGAACGAATCAGAATTGATTATAACATCAGCTTCCCATACTGCTAGGCTCATACATGAGAAATGGAGGCCTGGAAAGTATTAATTTGTTTGAAGTATATTTTTCAGTAAAACAATAATTTAGATATTATACAATTACCGTATGGTTTTCTTTTACATTATTGCATTTTTTGTTTGACTAAAGTTGATTTATGAAAACTAGAGAAAAACAATTTTTGAAATAAGTGATCATTGTTTTTTTTTTTTTTTAACATATGGAACTAAAAATATGTAATAAACAATCAAAGACATTCTTCTGTGTTTTGTTTAAAGGACTCTACATATTTCATGCACTGAGTTTTGTGAATCCTTATCAGCATACGTCGGCTCTTGCAAAAGCCGTAAGAGTTCATTATTCCTCGGCGATCAAATCAAATAGTTATGTATCTGAGATGGCCAGATACTGTAAATCAATAACCATTTTCAATACAATCAATAACCATTTTCAATAGGATCAGCCTAAATAAATTATGTGTGAAAACAAGTCATTGTCGTACGTGATATAATAAAGATGTCGGGCTCGGTATTAAGTTTCGAAAAAGTAGCCTTTATTGACCTGTAATATGATAAGTACAATATGATTACAATTTACAAGATGTGTTTTACACCCTTCAAAAACAGAGCGAAAAGATTGGTTGTTTAGTATATCACTTTTACAACTTTATACGAAGCAGGTTCTTTGGAACAAACATGTCAAGAAAGACAACTTGTAGTTTTGTACGATCAAAGTTGTATAGGCAGATACTCCAACCTCATACACAATAGCGTGCAAAAGAGCAACACCATGAAAATGGAAAGACACCTCAGGTCTGGGCCTGAGACTACTTGCGTTTCGTGAAAGGCTGAAGTATCCGGGCCAGCTATTAATACTTTTTTGTATTGAGTAAGTTTTGAAGAAGAACAAAAACGAATACTCACTCTCCAATCGTATTGGTTATTGGGGAATTTGTAATGTCATCAAAATTGCTTTTTCCTTTTAACACAATAATTGTTTTGCCATTCAATTCAGGCCCGACTTATTTTTGTAGTAAGGCAACAGACAAGTTATTTTGTCATTACTGATTAACATTTGAAGATTTCCTATAGGCCTACTATAGTGTCTGGCCGTGCGTGTCCCATATTATATTTTGATCAGGTTTAGAAAGGTTGTGGTTGACATGATTAAAAACAAAATTGGTTGGCTTGTACATATCTGTATTATTACTGTATAAAAGGTTAAACAAAAATAAAAGAGTATTCGACGAGGCGTTTCACACAGTAATTGCACCTGAAATTGCATCATGTGCATTATAAGTTCCAAACGCTTTCTTTCATATAAATACACACAAAAAGTTCCAAAAGCTTGAATGCATACTATTTCACAAAATGTAATAAAACAATATGATTAATTCTAATGATACACCTACATGCAAATGCATGATCATTTTTGCGTTTCTTCCTGCCTGCAAAATAGTTTTCTTCTGCATTTTGTTTTGTTGCTGTTATAAATACATTATGATGATAGAAGAAGCGATACAAATCCCAACTGAACTTCCCTTCTGTTCCCCCTTTTCTTTTACTTCTTCCTCTTTATTTTCTTTCCCTTTCTCTCCTCTTTCCCTTTCACTTCCCTTCCTTCTCTCTCTCTCCTTTTTGCTGAGAGGGGGGGGGGAGGGCCTTTTTGGCCCCCTCCCCGATCCACAACGTGTTAGCGGGAAAATCGCAACTGATATCCCCCTTCTTTTCTTTTCTTCTTCCTCTTTTTTCCCTTTCCTTTATCTCCTCTTTTCCTTTTTTTCTTTTCTTTTCCTTCCTTCTCTCTCTCTTTTTTTTGCTGGGGGGGGGGGGGAGGCAACAGCCTGGGAGGCAAGGCCCTTTCGGCCCCCGATCTCCTTCTTTTCCCCTTTTCTTTTCTTCTTCCTCTTCTTTCTTTCCCTTTCTCTCCTCTCTCCTCTTTCCCTTTCCCTTCTCTTTTTTATTGGCGGGGGACACTAACCAAGGCTATGGAAAAGAAAATCCCATTATTTGAAATTTGGGTGTATAATAGAATGATGAGATTATCATGGAAAGATTTGACAAGGAACAAAAAAAAATGTTGAATTTGGCTGGGTATAAGCAAAGTAACCTTAAAGGAATAGTTAACAAAAGAGAGGCAAAATAATTTGGTCATATTAAAAGACATCAGAGTCTCTTGAAGGACTTGCTTTAAAGTACAGGTATAACTATTATCGCGTTATCCAAGGAAATAAAGAACAAAGTAAAATAACTTAAATGATTCCGTGACTTTTTTGAAGTTTTGTGAAGAATAATAATAAAGTGTATTGTGTCAAAATACATACTTGCGTGGATATACGCCAGAGCTAGTTGCGTTGGGTATCTGTTGTTATGGAATACAAAATGATATCATATTCGTAAGCCTGAGATAAGCTGTGAATTCAAACCATTACATGACCAAGTGCGTCGAGTGCTGTACTACAAGTGCTTCCGTTTTCATTTCCTATACGTCAAACAGAGGTGTCCAACCGTTAAAGAACAGACACATACTGGTATTAAAACGTCGTTTGTACAGCATGTTCAAGGCAAACCGCATATTCTTCCATTTCGAAGATTTATGAAGCACATTTCGAACCGGCCGTATGTTCATAAAAAAAAAATTAAAAAATAATGTTACAAAACTCGAGCTAGGGGAATGCTTGTCAATTACTGTTGGCTACACACTAGACGTAATTATACATGAATTATTATTGAAAAACATGAAAGGACAACTTGCTGTTTTACTCCCCCCCCCCCCTCAAACTTTTCATTTCTTATATTTATTGGTCCCATGGACATGAACAATAAATTGTTTTGCTCTCATTGATAGACCGGCTCAAGTAGTTTACATTGTATTTGCATTATAGAATCATTAACCAATCGATGATATTTAAGAATGACAAGACATTTTATCAGCACTTTCCACACGCAAACCAGGTTTGGTGTGCAAGTGTGGTATATAGGATTATTCCTTGAACTGCAAAGTGCGTTGATAACAACTACTAGAATTGTAAATAAACAAAAATCAAAAGCTCTTTGAAAGCGCATATAGAGATAATATAACATGATGTGATATACGCTATACAATAACGGAATGTCATTACTACAATTAAGTACTTTTATATTTACATACACTTTCTATATACTTACACCATATTGTCTAATTTGAATTATACAATCATGGGTTATAAATCTGATGCTAATGCATCATCGTTCATCTATTACATGCATTACGGTACCATACGCATACAGAGTAGAAAGATAGCGTCAGGGTTGTTTGTTATTCTCTTAATTCAGTGCTTTTTATTAAAAAAAATGCCTAGTGATAAAACATAGATGAATGCCTAGTTCATTTCTTCTTCATCAGCCAGTTGCATCACATTCGTTGTGCTCATTGAAGCAGAACAGGGAATGTTGAACACCCAATCGCAGGGTTCCTTCGCATACAAGGCCAGCTCGGTGGTTTGATAAGACGACGGATCACGTGCAACCAGGAAAGGTGTGGTGGCACCGACCAAACCAATCTGGTAGACGCCATTCTTGAAGTCAACCCAGAAAGCATTGCACGAAGAGGACACGCAGGGATATGTACCCCTGGCCATGACTGTATTTTGCCTTGGATAAACGTAATCAAAGATATGTACGTCGTGATGGCGAGGGCAAATTCCTTTAGAGAGAGAGAGAGAGAGAGAGAGAGAGAGAGAGAGAGAGAAGAAGAAGAAGAAGAAGAAAATACGATAAAGATGTATCAAATTGAAATATTTTCATTGATAACACAACCGCAAAGACTTTCAATTTTCGATAGCCTTCTCCATCACCTTATGCATTGGAATATAATTTATGAACAAAAATTGCAATGATATATCCATACTATGAACAGTTTTGTTCATAGTATGGATATATCATTACAATGTTAAGAAAACCTAAATTTTCCTATCGACTCGCAGTCCCCTTTTAAGTTATTTCAATTTATTTCAACTCATTTTTTTTCTTGCCTAATCACCTTTGAGTAATTGTGTGTTGAATGAGGTGAGAGGGTGTAGAACCTTCTCGTTGTACATGTAATACATGAGAGCCTGTCAAGGAGTTAAACCCGGTGTTCATGTCATATATAATATTCAGGCCTTCTGTTTTGCTTCTCATTATTTTGTCACAGCCAGTAAGATAGTTGAATTGATTTACCACATAATATAAACATAAATTATGAATACTCACTGATCAACACCCCGTGCGTCCTTCCGTACAATAAAAATTGGAAGTTACCAGTAGTATGTGCTTGGAAAGATAACCAAGTTAAGCCTTCGGGTATTTCTACGGATCTGTACCAGATGTAAGTATACCTGCTGCGGGGTTTTGGTGTATGAAACACGCACTCTGCAGCATTAGAATTGGACAAACATAAAAAGAGAGAGAGAGAGAGAGAGAGAGAGAGAGAGAGATATTGACTAATGGAGTATTGTGGTATAATGTGGAGAGCCCCTTATACGAGAGGTCTCGGATTCGGGCCTTGCTCGGTGCTTTCATATTTTGACGAGGTGACATTTTTGCTATTTTTGCTAATTAACTGACCGCTGGTCCTCCCGTATAGTATAAAACATGCTTGCTTTAGATTT